AACATTTAGTGGATCTTGTGCTTTTTTCTCTGTAGATACAGATCTGGCTCAATATTATGTTACCTTAGCTGAATGGTGCTCTGCTACTTAGGCCCCCCTCCATCCGAAGAAGAAAGTTGACATTAGAGCCCCCCAGAGCACATCCCAACTGGCAAAGATGAGGGCACTTCAAGATTGGCAGATCAGAGGTTATGAGTTCGATTTTTGGAAGGCTCTTGGAAGGTAGATATTTTCCTGGAAGACAAGAGTTCTACTGAAAGGTAAGGTGCAAAGATGAGAAATGACTTGCTTGACACTTTGGCAGATCAGTTGGGGGGGGCTCTTGAGCACTGGTCAGTTTGGGGCACAACCGGCGGTTTAACCTGTCTGCAGCTTGAGGGGCCAAGGTGTAGACTCCATGATTTATTCACTGTAAGGTGGATACCTGGATATCCAAAAAAGAAAGCTGACATTAGAACTTCAACAATTTTCAATAGGCAGTGACATAGATCATACAGATCATCATCTATTCTGCAACCTATCTATCAATAAACCAGAACAACTATAGCTGCATCTACTTTAATTTTCTTTGGTATTACAGATGAAACATTAGTGAATATAGGTTGTAGTCTTGTAGATAAGCAGAATGAAAAATATAAATCGCAAAATTAAAATGGAAAAGTTAAGTTTTTAATGAATTAATTATTGAAGAGAATTCTGCTGATTGCAGAATGCTTACAAATCAGAAAGAGGAAAAGGAAATTGACGATTGGCTACCAGTCACTTCTTCAAGTAATGCAAAATGGTGATACTCAGCTTTTCACGACATCACAGCCATGGTCAGTGCAGAAGTCTTGAGTCTTCCCTACACCATGGCAGCTCTTGGATGGTATGTAACTGTCAATTCAATAAAACAATTCATTAACACTTTCCTTTCATCTATCAATTTATGGACGTTAATTTAGGCGACTTGGTGTGGTTCTTCTTATTCTCTCATGGATCATCTCTATACACCTCATGGCAAATGGTTGAGATGCATGAAATGGTTCTGGGAAAACATTTTGATTGCTACCACGAACTGGGGCAGCATGCATTTGGTAAAAAGCTAGGTCTTTACATTGTTGTTCCCCAACAATTAATTGTTGAAGTGGGAGTCAACATAGTATACATGGTCACTGGAGGAAAGTCGCTCAAGAAATTCCATGAAACAGTATGTGGTAGCTGCACACACATCAAAACTACTTACTTCATAATGATATTCACTTTGGTTCATTTCATCCTCTCCCACCTTCCAAACTTCAACTCCATCTCCGGGGTCTCTTTGGCAGCAGCAGTCATGTCTTCAACGTATGCCCTCCCTTCTTTCTCCATTTTAATAACATTCTTTAGAATATTCTGTTTCCTGCATGGAAATTAGAATAAAAAGAAATATTTAAATAGAATAACATTCTTAATTGGAAATTATGAGAATTGGTTGTATTTCTACATACAGATATTCCACCATTGCTTGGACAGCTTCTCTTCACAAGGGCATACAACCGGGAGTTGAATATGGTTACCCGGCCTCTAGCCGAGCTGGAACGGTGTTTGATTTCTTCACTGTCTTGGGCGACGTAGCTTTTGCGTATGCCGGCCACAATGTGGTGTTAGAGATCCAAGCAACAATCCCTTCAACACCAGAAAAGCCTTGAAAGAAACCCTGTGGAGAGGGGTGCTGGTAGCCTATTCATTGTTGCCCTCTGCTATTTCCCAGTTGCTCTAATTGGCTACAGGATGTTTAAAAACAAAGTAGAGGACAATATCCTTAAAAACCTGCATGGCATATCGCAGCAGCTAACACGTTTGTTGTCATCCATGTCATCGGAAGTTACCAGGAGTAATCACAGTAATTTTGAGATCATTGTTCTTCGTTATGAATAACATAACTTCAGTTAGAATTGATTCTTTTATTCGTCTATTATGTCACAGGCTTATCATATTTTCAATTGCAGATGCATGCAATGCCAGTCTTTGACATGATAGAAACCATTTTGGTGAAGAAGCTGCATTTCAAGTCCAGCTTTATCGTTCGGCTTATCTCCCGCAACATATATGTGGGTTAGTAATATTATCTTTCAGTGAGTACGTGGTGAAATGAAATAGTTATGTGTCTAACATATGTGTTGTATCGTTTCAGCATTCACAATGTTCGTTGTCATAACCTTTTCTTCGGCAATTTACTCTGGTTTTTTGGTGGATTTGCTTTTGCCCCAACAACATACTTCATAAGTGTTATTATCAGTACTAGTCTACTTCTGATTTAATGTCTTAAAAAAACACTACGATGATAAATTTTATGAACTGCAAAATTTGCTGATGTACCTTGTTCCAGCTCCCTTGTGTAATGTGGCTTGCTATCTACAAACTGAAAAAATTCAGCTTATCTTCGTTCACTAATTGGGTATGTGAAGGAAATACTCTATTTGGGAGTTTTCAAGGGTTACTGGATTTATTGTGCATGCCTAATGGATCTGTTTTCTCCAGATTTGCATCATATGTGGCCTTCTTTTGATGATATTATCAACTATTGGAGGGCTAAGAAACATCATACTGCAAATGAAAGACTATCACCTCTACTATTAAGTATCTCTGCAAGTTGGTTAAAAGCAAATTCGAATGAAAATGAATAAGACAGCAATAACAATGCCCTAATAATGTCTTGGGAAGTCCGCGAGTCCTGTCTGATAGGCATTAGACCAGCATCTCCAACAAGCTACTTAAAATGTTATGGAACCAGCTGAAGAGAAATAAACTGTTTCTGTTATGTACCTTTATTTTGATTATAAACATAACTATATCAAACATTGCCACCCTTCATTTCCCTGCAGCATTTTATTACAAAGCTTTTAGCTGTACATAGTCTGTTCCTAAGTGTAAACGTCGGATAGATAAATATCAAACAATAATTGATCTGAAGGTAAGGAGGAGGAGGAGGAGGAGGAGGAGGGATCTTGTATAACAACTATAACAACTCTCAAAAAACAAAAAATCCAACAAAAAACATGGAATTTCTCAGCACAAAGAGAAGGGAGAAGTCCGATTTGAAAAATTACCCCAAGTTTCAGTCTGGACAAAAAGTTCACACATCATTTTGCCACCAAAAATGAAAATAGATCAAGTCTTTCCTTCGTTACAAACAATAAAAATATTTCATATCTACAAACATGATGCCATCACCCCACCCCTCCCTCAAGATAAAAGGCTGCCCCACAAGAACTCATATTTTGAGTAATTTAAGCATCTGCATTATACCAAAACAATATTTTCTTTAGCTTTACATTCAGCAACTGACATAAATACCAAAAACTATATTCTTGATCAGCTATTCCTCAATGTTTAGTCAACCTGAAGATGTGTATAAAAGTAGCCTAAATCAAGTAACTTACGATAATTAACCTGTCTACTTTGTGACTGTTAAGAACTACCTTATAGGATACAATCGTAAACACCGCCCCAAGATTGAAGAAGGCTTTCTATCCTGTCAGTGGTCATAACTAGAATAAGCTGACAAGGGAAACTGTAAAACAAGCAAGAGCATTTAACTACGAATTGTAATCTTTCCACCTAAACAATAAATTTTAACCACTTCAACAAGATGATTAGTAAATGTTGATTATCTCTCTATCAAATGTCAAATCCAGAAAACATTTAAGGCAATCATAATCGGCAAAAATTCTTGGTCTAATATAAGCTACACGGAACCACTGAGTATTCACTACACCAATCGGAGAAACACATCACAACAAAACTACAAAGACATTCATCAGTGCAGAACGTGTAAGTTATGTTTAAGTTAAAATCGTATAATTCCACAAATACATTTAATAATGCAACAATCACTTAGCATAATGCAGAGAAACTGAAAAGAAACAATATTTCATTCATTTACCTTTGAGATCATTACATAAATGGAACTAAACCCTCCAAATTCAAATTTTTCCATTTCTATCTATTTTTTTCCTGTTCAACTTTTTTCGTTCTGTCACTATACAACTGAATCCATAGATTTGAAATCCACAATATGCTAACAGAAATAGCCATCACAACAACAGAAATCCATGTTATCCAAACCCATTTAGGAATCACATGATTCGAGACCCCACTCAGATAGAACACAAACATTCGATAAACAAAATAAGGTCCCACAAAACCTCTCACCACAGAGTAGAAAGCATAGAACGGAGGGGAAAATAAATCATACACTTTGGCCGCAAACTTCACATCTGATCTCCGCGCACTAGCCAGGGTCCACACGTTCTGGCATAAGCTCGTAACCTCCGCAAGAATCAACAGCACCAGGATTGCATATGCACCGTGGAGAACCACGTAACGACACGTCATGAAGACGAAGAGAGTGCACATATGGTGGCCTATGAAGAGAACGTCTCTTGGGTAAAACACCAAGTAATGCAAAAGATCCATCAAGAAATAAGCAATGCTGTATTCAAGGACAAGGTTCTGAAACGACGTGTTCGTGGAATCGAAGTTTCGATTCGGGTCAGATAATATGGCGTAGGAGGCTAGAAACACGGCTGGAGTGCCGTGAGCTAGAGAAATAATACAGCTACAAGCTTCGGGTCGGAGCTTCCGGGTCCAGGTCCGGAAAAGGATGAAGTAGGCATTGAGGTAGAGAACGAAATACATGATGAAAAACAAAGGCAGGTAATTCGGGATTGAGAGAATATCCATGATTAGAATGGAACCCAATTAAATTGATTGCAAATTATGGAAAATTTGAGAATTCCACTAAAGAGATTTAAACAAGAATTAGTAATTGAAAAACATGAAAAAAAGGAGAAGAAAGGCAAATTGTTGGTGAAAAGTCGGTGGAAGCAGATCTCGTAGTTTTCGAGGAGAACGAGAGTGAAATAGAATTATGCGAAGAACTGTAACGTTGGCCTGTGGCTGAATGTGTTTTTCATCTTCCCACAATACACGCAGCAGCTGCAGTAGTTTTTGAAAACAGAGGACGTCTAATCGAATTAACGTTGTATCTATTCGAAGAAAAAGGGCTTACTAGGATTTTACTTTTTCATTTTTTATAATAAATTTAATAATAGTGGACCAGTTCGAATTGATCTAATTAAATTTTCACTTTTTGATATTTGAAAGATTCCATGATTTGTTGAAGTAGGTACAAGATACATGGACCTTAGTACTAGAGTAGTTGGCATATGGAGGACTTTAATGAGATGGATGAGGAACATAACGTTGAAAGTCTCGCTATGCCCCAAACAAATCATCTTATTTTTAATTAAAGGTTTATTTGATTGTAAAAATGAAATTGAATTGAATTGAAAACGAATTTTAGAGAATTGAATTGCCTAAAAACTATTTTCCTAAGAATTGTAAATTATTGTATTTGATTGGTATATTTTTCTACGTGAAAAATGTTGAAATTTTGAATTTTTTGATGTTTGTTTGGTCTTATTTTTCATGAAAATTGTCAATTAAATGAAATTTTTTTTTTGTTACAATTGTTGATAGATTTTGTTTCCATTGCTGAAAATTAAAAAAAGAAAAAAAGAAAAATTGGAAAACCGAATTCCACCATTTGAGGGAAAAGGCACATGTGTTGGAAAAAATGTGGAAATCGAATTCCCTAGAAAATTTAGCAATCAAACACCACATTTTGATGGAAAATGTGTCCAATCAAACATGACCTAACTTCATTACTATTTCAAAAAAAATCAACACAGTAGAATAAAAAGTAGCATAGCACGAGTACACGAAGATGTTAATAATGATGTGATCAATTGTCCGACGATGATCTCCATTGTCTGTGGTTATGTGAAAAGATAAGATCCAAAAAATCCAATAATCGCTGAAGAAAAAAATAAAGTTAATTCACCGACGGATAAAGTTTTACAACAAGCAAATAACTACTACCACGTCAGCGTTGATTGTCATGTCAACACCGCCTACCGAGTGTTTATAAAAACACCAATCACTCCATCCATGTTGTTGAATTCCAAGGAAAACAGTGGAGAAAATTCTCCAAAGTTTCTCTCCACCGGAACTCATAATCCTTGCCTGAGAACACCTGAAGCCGCCACCACACAAACTCAACTGATTCACATAGATGTCATCAAAAAATCCTTGGTTAACTATGTTTTCGTTTCTCATTCTTTTACAAAAACAAATTATGATATTTGACCAACAAGAAACAATGTTGTACATAGGATATTGTCCTCTTTACCAGAAAAGGTACTAAAACTAGAGACATTGAAATACCTGAGGACACACACATAACTCTATTTTTGAATAAGCGGCCAACCTATTCAACAACTGGCATAATAAATCCACCCGAAAACAAGAGGAAATAATAGGTCTATTTTTATTTCCCTGGTACACGATTTTAAGAGGATCAACAAAAAATGCTATTTTTGTGGGAATATAGGTTGACCAAAAAACGCTATTTTTGTGTCCTCGAAGTTCAACATTACAGCGTCCCAACAAATCCCGAATGCAAATTGTAACTATTTCTAAATATATGCAGGGCAAAATGATTTTCCGCAAGAAGCTGTTGTGAAGCCTACATACATGTCCTCTAAATAATAAAATGCTCATTATATTGCAGAAAAACTAGTAGTTAATCCTACCCTTTAGTCAACTAACCACTTCTATGAATCATCTATTTTTACAGATAATATCATCCAACCGGCCTGAGCCTCCATCCCATTTACATAAACAAGTATCATTTTCTCAATTCCTAACGGTGTTATAAATGATTTCTCCAAAAATTGACAATGATTCAAAGCACCACCATAAACATATAATAGTAAAGTTGCCATAAGATTTTACTTAAGCCATTGTAAGAGTAATTTATCTCATAGCAAACTTTAGAAGGAACCACGTACTGACAGGTACTTCTCAGAAAAAGTCCACATCACATAATAATGCAAAATAAATATTCAAAAATGAGGGGGTAAAAAGAAGAAACAATTTGTCACCACTCACCAAAAAGAAGAAAGAGATCAACAACTTCAGCCTACAAAATAAGAATTATGAAATTTCTAGATAATTAGATGAATACTTCTAGTAACAAGCTTATATTTCAACATTCAGCTCTTAGTGTTCATTTGTCTTCAAACACTAAGCTTTTGATATCCCAATTCTAATGATGGGGGTATTGGACAAACAAGGATCCTACCATACAACTCTTAGCAAGGATTTTCCCTTTTTCCAATTTAATGACTCACAGTTCACTCAGTTTTTATGTCATTATCATTAGGTAGGGGAGAGAGAGACCGAGTGGTTTAAGGAGTAGCATTCGGTTCTGTCTAGGATTTTGTTTACTGAGGGTTCAAAAATTTTCGGAAAAAAACTTAATCCATCTAGAGGATATACTCATTCATTTAGTATCCAGGTTTGTGCAAGTTGAGAGGGTCGTCATGAAGTGGGATCGTTTGAGTTGTTACAACATTTATGAGATTTTAAGGCTACGGAACAAATTAAACAAGAAAACCATGGACAGATCCAAGGTTCCCAGTCACAGCATCTGCCCCCAGTTTAGAGCTGTCAAGAGCTGAAATGTCCACTGAGACCACAGGAAATTCCCAATAATCAACACCTATTTACTGCACTACTACGTGTTCACTCATCCACTTGGACTCCCATGCAAACCGTGTGACAAAGGCTGAAGAAACTCCCAAACCATTTCATTTACACAGTGGATGCCCCAGGAGATTTCCACGTAATAAATGCAGATCACAATCAAGAGATTCAATGTGAAAACCTGCGAACCTCACCTATTTACTGCGTTGCTACGTGTACACCAATCCCTTTGACTCCCTGCAAACCAGCTTTCAAAGAGATTTCCACGTATTCCATGCAGATTAGCATCAAGTATTTCAGTGGCAAAGCCAGCTAATTTCACCTACTTTCATAATAATGACACATACATAAGCACTGATCTGCTCAGAACCCAACTTTTACTTATTGATGAAATCCCAGTACTTACCATATCTAATGAGAAAATCGCCTTAATGTTTCGTGATCCTTAAGAGAAAAAAGTGTTCTTTACCTTTTAGCAGAAAGATTTCACAAGATAATAAAAATAAAGAAATGAAACACACCAAAGAGAAGTGCAAATACCCCCTCCTTAAGTATACCACTCCATTCTATTCAACAAATACATAACCTATTCACCCAAGTACAACCTCCTCTTCTCTCTATCAGAGAGAGTTCAAAAAGGGAGAACCTTGTACTGCTTAAAGAGAGAGAAGAATGGACAACCTAGATGCACAGAATAAAAACCAAAGCACTCAAGAAGAGATCCCAGAGGTGGCCAAAGACACGACAGATCCTGACAGCACACAGATTAAGGAAACTGAACAAGTTTCTTGGGACAAAACTGCACCCCAGATGATTACTGATGAAGCAAACTTTGATGTGAAAGACTACGAAGAACTGGAAACAATTGTGGAATTGGGAAACTTAGATATTTATGAGAAGAGCCGTGGACAAAGTTCATTGGCGTTGAACTTTGAAACTTCAATGGGTCAGCATGGGTGGCCTCAGGAACAGAATACCTTTGGGTGGAACTGGTACCCATCCACTGATGAAAAGAGTAAGAGCATTGCAGAGGATGATGAAGCTCCAAAAGGGAATTAATTAATTTCTTGACGTCATCGACACAAAATAAAATTCTATTTAGTGAAGGAAAATAAATAAAAGCTCGATGTAATCATGGCCATGGTCTCAGATTTGCTACTGCAAATGGTTGGGTTAATGTTGACTAATAAAAGGTTCATGGCCGAAATCTTTGTTCCATGCATTTGCATAGAATAACTCTCTCTCTCTCTCTCCCTCCCTGCCAAATAAACTTTAATCATACAAAACTTGCTTGGTAAGTTACAAATTTAATCAAAGGAAGC